GTTTCTGTGGATTTGTTTCTCTAAAGTACCCAGACTAATACAATATGTGACCGGGATGAGACTCAACACAGGACCATGACCATGACCCTTGGAGACCTTTTGTGTGGAGTCACACTCTTACATTGCCCAGACTAGCCAATGTCCCTCTATGTGCTGCTATACCCGGGACCCTCACTGAAACATAGTCTGACCTCTTCACTTTGCTCCTGTAGACTCGTAGCTTCATTCCCTGCTCTGTCATGCTGATGCTCAGCTGCTGAGCTAAGGCTCCCCTGTGCACTTGGCCATGTTAGGCACCCAGTCCACCCCCTAGAAGGAGGGAGCTGCAGATGCTCTGTGTCTGGTTTCTTTTGCTCAACCTTCTGTGTCCTAGGTTCATCACCCTGTTCCCCTCTTTTCATTTGTAATCACTGGTTGAAATTCAGTGCGGGTTTGCGGGAAAGACCAGATTCCCATCCAACTCTTGTTACCAATTGTGCCTCACCTCATTGACTCCAAGCCCCCCTCCACCCCTCAGGGTAGCAACATTGATCCCACCTCTGTTCCATGTCTTTTGTTACTACTATCTCTTCCTTCCTGTCGCTTCAGAGCTTTGTCCTTGAGTAAAAATGCTGCCCTTTTACTCTCAAATGCTTGTTGAGTCTCCGGGGTGAGGCTTCCTAAGACGAGTATCCCTTACGGGTCTATCTGTTGTGCGGCGGCATCTTGAGCCATGGGGGTGAGTTGAGTTACACATCGTTCTCCCACCCTATTCCAGGACTTTCTACTGGGATCACTTCCTGAGCAATCGGTAGAGGCAGCTGGGCACCATCTGGGTCTTCGGGTCCCGTGTTCAGGGAGACTGATGGTCTTCTGGTTGACTGGTCCCTGGGATGAGCGGTTTTCACGAGTCATTCAATTCCTTCTCTCTTCTTTCCTCTGGGAAAGACCAACAGGGGCATCGTAGACGACTGTGTAATCAGTTTCCAAGATTGACATCCTCACCAAAGTAGACTATACCTAGTATGTAGGAAAACTCTTCAGGTGCTTAAAAAGATCAAAGAAAAACTCACTTTGAGGACCAGGATGGCCTTGACCCAATCCAGGATATTTTCAATCACCTCATATTCATGCAGAAACTTAACAATGAATAAGAAAGACCAGAGAATTGATAACTCTGAATCATGCTCTCTGTGAAGCATACAGAATATGCCATGGACTGCCAGGGAGAAGGGACGAAGCTACCTGGGAAGAGATCCGGCCACAACAGAAAAGTGGGTGAAGGGAGACGTCGGACAGGGCAAGATATGACAAAATAATAATTGATAAATTATCAAGGGCTCATGAGGGAGGGGGGAGCAGGGAGGGAGGGGGAAAAATGAGGACCTGATGCCAGGGGCTTAAGTGGAGAGCAAATGTTTTGAGAATGATGAGGGCAATGAATGTACAAATGTGCTTGACACAATTGATGTTATGTATGGATTGTGATAAGAGTTGTATGAGCCCCTAATAACATGATTTTTAAAATAAACTAAAAAGCGAGGGCAATGAATCTTCATCCTACATGCATGGGATCGCTTCCCAGGAGGGACCAAGCCCTTGGGGGAGGACATCGTGTCTTGTTAAGTGGAAGGTCAGCGATAAAGAAACCAAGAAAGGACTTTGAGGAGACAGATGGGTCCAGTGGCTGCAACCAAGGGCTCGCGGCATGGCCGTGACTGTGCAGGAGGGAAAGACGGAGGACAGAGGAGTCCTTCTACTCCCGTCAGGAGTTCCAGTCCCGGGAACCCATGGGGGCAGTCGTGGGGAAGCTTGCTGGAGCCAGCTTTCTGTGCATCCTTATTTTCAGACTCGTGGTGGGCACCTTTCCTCGGCCTGGACTCATCCACAACCCGAGATGAGAGAGAAGCCTTCTGTAAGAATGGCAGGCGGGCCAGGCTGGCTGGGCACAGAGACCTCCTGCTGGATGCTCTTTAGAGGGGTCCAGGAAATCCCCCCTTGCTGACTGATGGGCGGTCGTGCGTAGGGGTGAGCCTTCCAGGCCACTGGGGTATGTCCTAGTTAGGGAGAGCTCCGGGTTCACATGGGGGCGGGGACGGGGGGATGGGGGGTGGGGTGGTGGTCCTCCAGAGGACAGAAGAGAAGGACCATGGAAAATGTCCATGCCAGCCATTATTCGGCCTCATGGAAGCTCAGCTCGGGGTAGGGGCCAGGGGGCGGAGGAGGGAGGGACCCCAGTGGATAGTCTTTTCTCAGATATATGGGCTCAGCTCCATCTGCACCAGGTTCCCGTCTTCCTGCTGCATGGGCCAGTTTTTGTTATCCTTAGTAGACAATCCTATTTTGCTCAAGTTTTCTGGTCCAGCAATGACTGCTAACGAGTGCAGAAGCAGACGCCCCCATCGCCGTGGCAACAGGAACAGGTGCATCGGGTCTCTCTGTCCTTCACCATCCAGCTTCGCTCCAGGAATCACCTCATTCTGTTTCGACTTGGTGCTCGGATGCAGCTTCCCGACCAACGCTCTGATCTGCACATACACATCTCACCAGAAAATATTAATAGAGTTGTCTTGTGCCTTCGTTTTTAAATGAGATTTATGCAATTGTTTAATATACCCCCATGAATAAAACTTTTAAAAGCGTATCCGTTTGAATGTTCATTTAATTCTGTTTTAGGAATCATACGGTTTTCAAGATACACTCTTCCTTGGGAATCCTGTACATCTTCTAAGGATGCAGTAAAAGCAGAAATCTGAATCTGAAGGGAGGTTAACTCAGTGACATCCAAGAGAGTCAACGCTGGTTCCGATGTAAAACCCCAAACACTGTGCCATTGACAAGATTCCGATTCATTGCACCCTCACATAGGGTTTCCAAGACTAGATACTCTTTTTTTAAAGATGGTTTTTATTTCATTTTTATAGCAAGAGTTGTACAATCTTTAAAAAGATTTTAGCAGATTTATTGAAATATAATTCACTTATCATACAATTTAATATGTAAATGTATTAAAAAGAGTTGTGCCATCATCACCACAATCCGTTTCAGAACACTTTCTTCATTTTGGTACACATTACTATTAACTTCCTGTTCCCCCCAACCTCTCCTGTCATAACCCTAAAAAGTTATTAATCCAGTTACTGTCTCTATGGACTTACTTATCTTGGATTTCCTATAATGAAAAAACATGCCTCCCCTCCACCACACCAACTCCCACTGTCCCCCCAAAAAAGAACACTAGCAAAACAAAACAGGTCAACTGCAAAGAAAGCAGAAAAAAGTTTAAAACTAGAACAAAATTTAAATGGGTCAAAAGTGAGAATGAAAAATTTTAAAAAGTGAGAGAATGCTCAGATGTTACATTTTAACCTAAATACATCGGCATCAATCCACTTTCCAGTGCACCCTGTCTGATCGCAAGGCTGTCACATCCCCGGTCATTGGTCAGGAGGGATTCTGGGAGGCTTACTCCAGGTGAGGATGCTGCGAATGGACTTTAGACTTCTACCGCTGTCAATCGCAGGAGCCCTGGTGGAGTCGTGGGTACATGTCGGACTGTGCTCAGCAAGGTCTGCAGTTCGAAACTATCAGCTACTCTTCTGGAGAAAGATGGGACTTTCTACTCCCATTAAGAATGACAGGGACTTTCTACTCCCGTTGAGAATGACAGCCGGGGAGCGCATAGGACAGCTCTACCCTGTCTTATAGGGTCGCTGTGAGTTGACATGCGCTCTATGGCAGTGCGTTTGGGTTTCTTTGTTCTCCATAGCAAGAATATGCTTTTTGGAAAACAGTGAGATGGTTGGGCTGGGACGGGGAATGTAGCTATGACTGGCCTAAATAGGGCAGCCCAATCCCATAACTCTAATGGGATCACCCACAGCATTAGGGTTCTTGACCTGAATGTCAGCCAATCATTTACATGTTGAGAGTCCAACATTCTGCCTGGTTGAGTTCAAGTGAGTGCTTGAAGCTACCCAGTTGCGGGGA